TCAAACATATCGTCAGGAAAATAGAGGCTCACAATGTTTTAGTTCAGTCTTTGAGACCCAGTTGCTTCGCACGTGTTGTGGTCAAATTTTTGCCAAGAATCAAAGGCCGAAATGTGAACTTCCTTCGTCAAAACCGCTTCGAGAAGGGTCTTGTTTGAACATTTAGCTATTAATTTCGATTTCATGAGCATATTTTGGTTACACGTTAAGTATTTTTGTGCTTGATGAGATTCAAAATTTGTTGTATATTCAAGCCCGGCTTTTGTGTAATTTTGGTGATGACCGGAACAGAAATAAAGATATTTTAAAAACTGGCCGTGGCCTCACGATAAAACTTTCTACAAATGTTCTCTGTTTCATGTACTTTTATTTGATATCTTGGGTATAAGCGTAAAAATAGGGGCTCATACAGTTTAAGAGGTTGTAAAATGCATGACTTGCCTCTATTTTCATGTAAACATTCGAAATTCTTCGACAGCAAAGTAGCAACTGTTTCAGATCGAATGCACACGGACAGCCCACCAGAGACAATGGCAGGGTACTGAAATAGAACGTCACTAAAAAGTTCTGTATGATTAATTTAGAACATGTTCACTCTTTCAACATAAAACAGTCATTTATTTTGTACAAACATTTTGCAATATTTACACGATTGTGCTTTTTTGTAAACACGCGTTGCGTGTATTCCACACAATTGCGTGACTCATTTTACTCGCGCATGCTCAGACAAATTTCCCACCTGTTATGGTGCAGCTAAAAGAAATACTTGCCAGTGGTCACACAATACTTGGTTCAACAAGGTTACCATTGACTGGATGACATTAGACTCCAGTTATCTTTCACTAATAGTCGAAAATCTAAAATCCGATTGTAGATATAGGATGAGGCAGTTAATCAATAAACAAGCAAAAACTGATATTTTTCACAAAACTTATTAACTGGTATAATTTCAACAAAACTAACCACAAAAAAATTACACAACATGTAATTAACAGTGTCTTAAAATTAGAGGAGGTTAGATTCAAGCTTGTAGGATTAAACAAGAGTGCATTTTGATTAGTCGATTATGCTTGCAAGTGTTTTTTAATTTAAAGTTTTGCTCCAATTTCACTCCATTTTTTGGCACCTTTGAATCATATCAAAGAATTAAGGCATAATTCATAAACGTTTACTCCCGTGAGCTTTAATTATCTTGTACATGCATTTCCCCCTGTTGTTGACTTGTCATTTTTCCTTGAATATACGTACCTTATTACCCCACATATTACTGCAGTGCCTACAAGCAAATTTTAATTTTTGGAAAAAAAATTTGGAGTAAAAATATTGACTTTTTACAAGTGCATGCGTCTTTATCTGGAGTGTGCAGGTTAGTAGGGTGCATGTATTGACTTCAAGTTGCGTACGTTTTTAAAATATTAAACTTTCCATCAAGTCCTGTGTTTAATTTATTTATAGAAGAAGCAACACGACTAAGATGACCATTCCCCTATAAAAGGCAGCTAGAATTTGATGTTGAAGGTTTACCTGGTTTATTAGCATTCCGGAAACCAAGCATATATGGGACCTCCCAACTGAAGTCCATAATATTGCAGTGCAAAGATCAAATAAAATTTAAAAGAAAGGAAGTCAATGATCGTAGCACCAGTACCTTCACTACCGAGACCCCATCAACGACCCAGGCAATCATGACTGAAACACTATCAATGACCAATGTTAGTGACCCAAATGCCATCAGCAACCCCAGCTCCCTTCATAACCATTTCATCACAAGTGTTCCAAACACACTCGTGCTATCAACTATCAAATCCTTCCTGATGGTACCTTTCCAAGATACCATCACTTCCACATTAGCAACAGCAGAAATATCCGCAACAGCAGGAACATCCGCAACAGCAGAAACATCCACAACAGCAGAAACATCTACATCTGCAAAAGCAGAAATTTCCGCAACAGCAGAAATATCCACATCATCCACATCTGCAGAAACATCCACAGCTGCACAAATATCCAATCCGCAACAACAGAAACATCCAGAACAGCAAAAACAATATGGGGAGGGCAGCAATATGAGCATCCACAACGGCAGATACATCCACAACAGCAGAAACATCCACATCGGCAAGAGCAGGATTATGCATATCCGCGCAATGGCAGAAACATCCACAGCAGCAGAAATATCCACACTCACAACATCAGAAACATCTGCAACAGCAGAAACATCTGCAAGAGCAGGAATATGGACATCCGCAATGGCAGAAGCATCCACATCTGCAACAGCGGAAACATCCATGGCAGCACAAATATCCACATTTGCAACAGCAGAAACATCCACATCTGCAGGAACATCCACAGCAGCAGAAATATCCACATCCGCAACAGCAGAAACATCCACATCTGAAACAGCAAAAACATCCACAAGAGCAGAAATATCCGCATCCACAACAGCAGAAATATCCGCATCCACAACAGCAGAAACATCCACCTCTGTAAGAGCAGAAATATGCACAACAGCGGAAACATGCGCAACAGCAGAAACATGCACATCCACAGCAGCAGAAATATCCACATTCCCAACAGCAGAAACATCCACATCTTCAACAGCAGAAATAATCACTGCAAAAGTCACTAAAAGCAAAAGCAGCCAAAGAAGCTTGGCCAGTTCTAAGCAAAGCACCACTTACTGCTACTCGTAAAGACAGGTTGGTTGCAACAGTTCGGAAGCAACAGATTTTTCATAAGCAACTAGAAGAAAGAGTAAATCTCTGTAAATGAAGCACTTGAGAAAGATCTTTTGGACATATATGCTAACAACACTTCAGAAGTGACACCTCATATGAAAGTGTTTTGGGAACAACAGAGAAAGTTACTTGCTAGTCACAAGTTTGGAAGAAGATATTCCCATGTCATACGATTTTGTCTTTCCTTGCATGCCAAGTCACCAGCAGCATATAAGGAGCTAAAGGATTCTGGAGTTTTGGTTTTGCCAAGCCAGAGATCACTACGGGACAATTGTAATTTTTTCAGTGCTAAAAGAACACCCAAAGGACTACTTTGACATTCAAAGATATGTCATGCTAAGCTTCGATGAGATGAAGATTCAGTCAAAATTAGTGTTTGACAAACAGACTAATGAGCTAATTGGCTTTGTTGACCTCAACCATGCAAGCCAGGGCCTTCTACCTACGCTGGGCTGCGGCGAAGACCCTGGTTCAGGCTGGTCATGTGACACTTTTATTTACTCTCCACCTTAGGGGGGGATGGGTAGAACACCAGTGGTGCAAAAATCGACTTCTGGTTTAAAACAGCGTGTTTCGTCGTTTCGAAGGAGTGAAGAGCGCAAATAAAAGTAGCTTGCTTAATTAGCAGATAAAATGGAAAGAGGATCTAAATGTATGATTTTCTTTGCTTGTTTATATTTCACTATTAGAAATAGCTTATATTCTAATATTATTTTAAAACCAAAGCAAGTTATTTGTTTGGAAAAATTGTTTTCTGCCTCGGATGTACTGGCGGTTCTTCCAACAGGTTATGGGAAATCGTTAATATATCAGATTCTACTGTTGCTGTTGTACGGCAAAGAAGGGTTACAAGGAAGCCAGATTCAACGTTCCATTAGTGAATGCGACTTAACCTCTGTCGTTATTGATATTTGCCCTCTAAATTCGCCCTCTAGATTCAGTCAAAATTAGTGTTTGACAAACAGACTAATGAGCTAATTGGCTTTGTTGAACCTTAACCTCACAAGCCAGGGCCTTCTACCTACGCTGGGCTGTGGCGAAGACCCTGGTTCAGGCTGGTCACGTGACACTTTTATTTACTCTCCACCTTGGGGGGGGGGGGATGGGTAGAACACCAGTGGTGCAAAAATCGACTTCCGGTTGAAAACAGCGTGTTTTGTCGTTTCGAAGGAGTGAAGAGCGCAAATAAAAGTAGCTTGCTTAATAGCAGATAAAATGGAAAGAGGATCTAAATGTATGATTTTCTTTGCTTGTTTACATTTCGCTATTAGAAATAGCTTATATTCTAATATTATTTTAAAACCAAAGCAAGTTATTTGTTTAGAAAAATTGTTTTCTGGCTCAGATTCTACCGTTGCTGTTGCACGAGTGGAAGCACCGAAGCAAGATGGTGGTCACAAAATTTGCTCCTGTGAATTTTGCTATTTTTTTGTTGAATACTTGTCTATAAATGCATTTTTGTTGCTTTATATCTATATATTTACTTATAATTATGTCTACGTTAACCACTGAGCAATTTATCAGATTCTCAACGAGAAACTAGAGGAAAAATTTGAGCAGAAAATCACACCTTTAAGTCAAACGATTGTCGATCTCAAAAGCAAAGTCGAGGATGTTGTGGAACATATAACATTCATAAATGCTAAGTACGATGAACTGTACTTAAAACTCGAAGCCTCTGAGAAGGAAAATAAGTCGATTATGGAAGAGAATAAGATCTTGAAAATGTCTATTCAACAACTTGAGCATTCAGTTACCACCCTTGATCAAGCTCATAATGACCTTGAACAATATGGACGAAGGGAGTGTATTGAGATTAGCGGAATCCCTGCTCCTGGACCAGGTCAAAGTGAAAATGTAAACGCTGTTGTTAGTAATGTTGGTAAGCTGATTGGTGTTGATGTTAAGCGAGAGACATATCAGTATGCCACCGATTACCTCAGCTAAAAGGATACAAAAGAGAGTTTGGGAACGCGACGGGAAGTGGCAACGGCGACGTCTGTGACCGAGCAGGGGCCTGGGAATGAATATGTTGCAGAAACGTTGCCGTTGCCACCAGATTTCTGTTTGGCTACTGTTCGGTGGTAAAATTTAAAACTTTTGTAAATTCAAAATGGATGAAATTTTTTACACTCTCCTTTTTATCGTACGATGATGGTTTAATATCAGACGAGGAGCTTTTACTTCTCCAAGATTACTTATGTATATCGCCAAATAGGCACTCAAATTTCCCTTATCGGGATTATAGTCCATTTGACTGAGAAAACCTTGACGAACTTACTTGCAAAGTCGATTTTCGGTTTGACAAACAAGACATTCCAAGGTTGCAAGAAGCGCTTCAATTTCCAGTAATGATTTCCATCCCACATGCTACAGACTGTCCTGGATTGGAAGCTTTGTGCATATTGCTCAAAAGATTTACTTATCCAGTGCGATACTGTGATATGGTTCCCATGTTTGGCCGATCAGTGCCTGAACTATGCAAGATTACTCAATATGCAATCAATCATATTTACAACAACCATGGTTTCAGATTACAAAGCTGGAATCAACCATTTCTATCTCCAGAGAATCTGGAATCCTATGCAAATGCAATTCATGTCAAAGGTTCCCCTCTTCTAATATGCTTTGGTTTCATCGATGGCACAGTTCGGCCAATTTGTAGACCCAGTGTTAATCAAAGAATTGTTTACAGTGGTCATAAGCAGCTACATGCCATCAAATTTCAGAGTATGTGTATTCCGAATGGTCTGATAGCAAACCTGTCTGGACCACTTTTTTGACATTTATATTGCCAATAATCAGTACAATGATGTGTTCTGTTATAAATTGTTAATATATAAATTTTGAACAAAGTCGTTCAATTCAATAATTTAATTATATATTTTGTTTTGCTTTGCTTTAGAGGCAAGAATGCATGATGCACG